TGCTGTTGATGACGATGGTGATGCTTACGATGATGATGACGATGCCGATGACGATGATGATGCTGATGATGGTGAGGATAACGATGCTGGTGATGGTGATGGTGAGGGTGATGATAATGATGACGATGATGATGATGATGATGATGCTGCTGATGATGATGCTGATAATGGCCATGATGATGATGGTAACGATGACGAGGATTTTGATGTTGCTGCTGCTGCTGGGGATGATGATGTTGATGGTGATGGTGATGGTGGTGATGATGATGATGATGATGATGATGATGATGCCGATGCTGATGCTGATGCTGATGCTGATCCTGATGCTGATTCTGATGCTGATGCTGATGCTGATGCTGTTGCTGAGGAGGAGGAGGAGGAGGAGGAGGAGGAGCAGGAGGAGCAGGAGGAGCAGGGGGAGGAGGAGGAGGAGGAGGAGGAGGAGGAGGAGGAGGAAATAGAAGGAATGGTGGAGGAGGAAGTGGAGGAGGAAATGGAGGAGGAGGAGGAGGAGGAGGAAGAGGAGGAAGAGGAGAAGGAGGAAGAGCAGGAGGAGCAGGAGGAGGAGGTGGTGAGGGTGATGATGATGATGATGATGATGATGATGATAATGATAATGATGATGATATGATGGTGATGATTATGATGTTGCTGCTGCTGGTGATGATGATGATGATGTTGATGTTGATGGTGATGGTGAGGGTGATGGTGATGATGATGATGATGATGATGATGATGATGATGATGATCATGATCATGATCGTGATGATAATGATGATGATGATGATGATGATGATGATGATGATGATGATGATGATGATGATGATGATGCTGATGCTGATGATGATGATGATGATGATGATGATGATGATGATGATGATGATGATGATGCTGATGTCGATGCTGATGCCGATGCTGATGCCGATGCTGCTGCAGATGCTGATCCTGATCCTGATGCTGATGCTGATGCTGATGCTGATGCTGATGCTGATGCTGATGCTGATGCTGATGCTGATGCTGCTGCTGAGGAGGAGGAGCAGCGGCAGCAGCAGCAGCAGGGGCAGGAGCAGGAGGAGCAGGAGGACCAGGAGGAGGAGGAGGAGGAACAAACAAAAAAAAATGTAGGAGGAGGAAATGGAGGAGGAAATCGAGGAGGAGGAAGAGGAAGAGGAGGAGGAAGAGGAGGAGGAGGAGGAGGAGGAGGAGGAGGAGGAGGAGGTGGAGGAGGCGTCCTGGGGGCAAGGCACGGCCCCAGCTGACCTGGGGATCCGCGCCGACCTGGGCCGGCCCGCCCCTGCAGGGCCGGACCCTTCTCCGGGGGCACCGGGCCCTTCTGCTGTGGCCCCCTCCCCTCTGTGCCGTCGGACCCCGAGGTCGGAGACCCAGACCCCCTCGAGTAATGAAAAAGTCGCGACGGGAGGATTTTCCTATTTTTCGGCCTCGGGGGGCACTCACCGGGCCTCGGGAGCGTCAAAAAACGACTCAGGACGAAAAACCGGTCCCGGGGAATGGGTCCGGACCTCTGGGGGTCGCGTCATGAAAAAATCATGACGTCGGGGGTCTGGGGAGTGCGTAGTGTTTTTCGGGCAAGAGCTTAATGGGCCCTGGAAGCGACAGGGCCGTTTTCTTGCCGGTTCCGTTTTGCCGTTTTTGTTGCCGCTTCCGACGCCGTTTTTTTTACTGGCTCCGTCGCCGTTTGTTGACCGGTTCCGGCTCCGGTTCCAATCCTGGAGCCGTTTTTTTGCCGTTTCCAGTCGCAGTTTTTGTTGCCGTTTCCATTTTCAGGGTGCATTTGTTTGGAAACGGTGAAAGAACGGCCCTGCCGTTTCCGGGGCCCACTAAGGGCAAGAGGGTGCACCGGGGACCACAGTGGTGGACTCGTCCAGCCTCTTGCGGCCAGCCTTCCCCCCCCGCACCCGCAGTGCACTCCGCAGGCTCGCCGAGAGGACCCGGCCGCCCGCGCGCGGCCCCCGGAGCTGGGCCACGAAGGGGCGGCGGGGCCCAAGTGTTCTTCGTGCTCGTTGGATCCTCTTGTGCATCGGGGGGGTGCCCTTGGATGTCCTGTTCGTTTTGGCCGGCGGAGGGTCTCGGGTTCTCGAGAGGTGCTCTTCTGGCCGAGGTCCGACCGTGCAGGCGTTCGTCTCAGCGCTCAGCGCGACGTCTCCCCCTGCAGCGTCGTGCCCTCCGTTTCTGCGCCTTCGCGGGCCCCTTGTTCAAGCAGTGGCGAAGCGTCTTGGCGTGCCTGTAGGCCTTTGTGGTTTCCACGAAATGTTCTTAGAACATTTCTGGCTGGGGCTGTCTTGTTTTAACACATCGGGCTTATGTTCAAAGAACATTGTTCTTGTCCTTAGAACATCTTTGGATTCTAAGAGCATGTCGTGGTAGGCCTATAGGAATGCCGGGACGGTCGGTCCCTGCTCAACTTGTCGTCACAACGGCGGCGCGTGGGTTGGACAAGCGGTCGGGACCAGGCCCCAGGAGGGTCCGGGGGGGCCGATCTTGAGAGACATTTTGCCTTTGGGGGGAGGGGCAGCCTGAAGCCGGAAAGCTCCTCGGTCCAGTGGGAGGAGGAGGAGGAGGAGGAGGAGGAGGAGGAGGAGGAGGAGGAGGGGGTGCAGGAGGAGGAGGAGGAGGAGGAGGAGGAGGAGGGGGTGCAGGAGGAGGAGGAGGAGGAGGAGGAGGAGGAGGAGGAGGAGGAAGAGCCCCAGACCTGTGACACACCCCAGAAGAAAAGGACGAGAGGCCCGCCCTCGCGCAGACCCCTCTCTCGCGCGCTAGGGAAGAGAGCCGCGGCGGGCGAGGTTCAGCGCCGTCCTCGGCCCCTCGGGGCCCGTCACCGCATCCAGACGTGCCTCGGGATGTGAAACGGGTCTCGGGGAAGCGGTCGAGAGGTCGGGGGCCCGCGTCTCGAAAGAGTCGCGGCGGGAGGTTCTGCGCCGACTTCGGCCTCTCGGGGCCCTCACCAGCCCTCGAGGCCGTCAAGAAGCGATCTGGGACGAGAAACGGAGCCCTCGGGAGCGTCCAGAAACGACTCGGGCCGAGAAACTGGTCCCCGGGAAGAGGTCCAGACCTCTGGGCGCCGACGCCGTAAAAAAGTCATGACGTCGGGGGTCGGGGCATCCTTCTCCGCCCCAGCCGACTGTCGTCTCCAGACGGCCCGCGAGGCCCCGAAGATGCCCCAAGAGAGCCCAAGAGCACATCGTCCCGAGAGACAGCCATCATGGATGTTCTGCGGGCTTTCGATGGACTTGGGCGTCCTCGCTTTTTCGGCCCTCCGACGCTCAGGGACGGCTCCAGAAGCTCCCATGGCCCCGCGACGGCCCGAGAGGCGGGCGGCCCAAGAGGGCCCCATGACCGGCCCCTCCCGCGGTCACCGATTTCGGGGACGACGACAGGGAGGGATCGGCATGGGGGGGACGCGTCGACCCCGAATCGCCCATGGACCGCCGAGAGGGGCCCGGCAGCCCCCCCCACCCCCGCCCAGGAAGGTGCGGTTGCGCTGTCGGGGGCCCGTGGCCGAGGTATCGGTGGTGCATCGCCGACTCCAGGTCGAGGCTTCCCCCCCCCCCCCCAGACATCGGTCGTCTCGAAAAAATCGAGACGGAGGTTTTTCGTTATTTTCGGCCTCCCGGGGCCCTCGCCGGGCCTCGGGACCGTCAAAAAACGACTCGGGATGAAAAACCGGTCCCGGGGAAGTGGTCGGGAGGTCGGGGGCCCGTGTCTCGAAAAAATCGAGACGTCGGATGTCTGGGCCCTCAGGCCAGTCCCCGCCCCCCTCGTGGCCCCTCGCCCCTCTCGCCCAGCGGATCACGACCTCCAGCTCCTGGAGGCGCTCTCCCGAGAGATCGTTTTCCCAGAGTCTCTCCGCCAAAAGCCTCCCAGAGCCACGGGTCCACACCCTCTTCCTCCCCAGACCCCCGACGTCATGATTTTTTCATGACGTCGACCCCCCGAGGTCTCGACCCATTCCCCGGGACCGGTTTTTCGTCCTGAGTCGTTTTTTGACGGCCCCGAGGCCCGGTGAGGGCCCCCAAAGGCCGAAAATAATGAAAAACCTCCCGTCGTGACTTTTTCATGACTCGAGGGGGTCTGGGCCCGCCGCCCCCCAGGACAGCCACAGCATCCCCGAGGACGGCAGGACGGGCAGATGTGCCCGCCCTCCACGGCGGGCCGAGCGGGCGGTCTGCCCCCGGGTGCCGAGCCCCAACTGGCCCGCTGGCGCGGCCGCGTGACCCCTGCCTCGGAGGGCGCGCACCGGGGGGGGCGAGGCACGGGGGCAGGCAGCGAGGGCTGCAGAGAAGGGGGCCCTCCAGGGCCCCCATTCCGAGCCCCGAATCATCAGGGGCAACTCGGGTCGGGGCCAGCTCGGGTTCGTTTTTTTCGGGAAGCCGAGCCCGACTTGCCCCGGACCCGAGTTACCCCGGATAATTCGGGCGTCCAGAGCCCCGAATCATCAGGGGTAACTCGGGTCAGGGCTAGCTCGGGTTCCTTTCTCGGGAATCCAAACCCGAGTTACCCCGGACCCGAGTTTCCCCGGATAGCTCGGGCGCCCAACCCATAAGAGCCCTGCAGTGCCCCAGAGGGGGCCTCCAGGGCCCGCCAGGGGCACCTGTCTTCCCCCTCCCCCCACTCATCGCCCCCCCTCTCGTTCGCGCCCAGCGGCACCCTCGCCGCCGCGCCCGGAGGGAAGCTCTGCGAGTCACTCGCGCTGCCCCTGCAAGCCAGCTCCCCATACCCCAGATGCCTTGATCTGATCGGGGCGGGGCCTACGGAGATCTGGACCACTTCCCAGGGCCGGGCTCTTCGCCCCAGACCGTTCTTCGGCGGCCACTGGGCCTGGCAGGGGCCCCCAGACGCCTCAAGACGGCAAGACACCGCCGTCTTGTTTTTGCTCCAGCACGCTGGAGGTCTGGAGGCTAGCTCTGTGCTGCCGCCCCCGCGGCCGCTCGCGGCCCAAAGGCCCCGTGCCTCTGTTTTTGTCGGCCGCGCGCGGCCCCCCCCCACCGCCTGCCCCCCCCTTTGCCGCGCCCCGTCGCGCCGCAGGCCTCGCCCTCGAAGCGGCAGCGCCGCCGCTGCCGCTGGCGTCGGCATCGTCGTCGTCGCCGCCGGCGTCGGCGGCACCGCCGCTGCCGTCGTCGTCGTCGTCGTCGTCGTCGTCGTCGTCGTCGTCGTCGTCGTCGTCGTCGCCGCAGCCGCTGGCGTCGTCGCCGCAGCAGCATCGTCGTCCTCACTGGTCGGCGTCGTTAGCGCCGTCGCCGTTGGTGGTCGGTGTCGGCGTCGTCAGTGTCGTCGTCGTCGTCGCCGCCAGCGTCGGCGACGACGGAGGAGAGGATCAGCGGCGAGCGGGGAGGGGAAGTGAGATGCGGCGGGCCTTCTCGGAAGGCCCCGCAGTCTCCTGGCCTTCTGAGCAGTGTTCTAAGCCTCCCCCGAAGGCACAGGGAACCTCACAGAAGGCGCGAGGGCTCCTGAGCAGCCCCCGGCCGCTTTCTGAGCAGGCCGTCTCCTCCTCACTTCCCCCCCTCGCTCGCCGCCGAGAGGAGGAGTAGGGAGGAGGGGGATCGAGGTTTCCAAGTAGGTTTTTTTAGCCTTCCTGAGGCCCCCAGTACGTTCTGGGGGCATGGGGACCTCCACGACAGATAATCGGCCGAAAACAGGCCTAAGAACAATGGAGATCCTGTCCTGTGGTATCTGGGAGAATCTGTGACTTCGCTGTTCTTGGCTTTATTTTGATCTGATCGATCCGATTCGATTTTGATTCTGGCCTGCTCAATCCGATTCGGTTCCGATCGTCCGACGATCTGATACGGCCTGATGTTTGCGTGGCGCTGTAGTGCATCCTAGCGCAGCCAGTCCGATTCGATGTCGTTTCCGTGTCGAGGCAGCCCGATTCGACGCGCATTCCCATTCGACCGTTTTCCCGATTCGATACTGACTGACCCTGCCCCCCCTCCTTTGGCCGTTGCGGTGACCACCAGGCCGCAGTACCAAGATGTCCTTCGCTGCCGGCCTCACGAAGATCACGAAGAAGAAGAAGACCGAGCAGTCCGAGAGGACGGGTCGGACGGGGCTGGGACGAGAAGGAATCCGCTCCAGAGCATTCCGGGACGTTCTCAGAGCGTTCCGGGACGCTCTGGGAAGGCCGCGGCCCTCCCGACATCCACCGTCTCCGAGGGATCTCAGAGGTTCTGGATGTGCCCTCCCCCGAAGTGATCCTCGTCCTGGCTTCGTCTTCATCTGCGTTGCGTCCGAGACGTTCTCCGTGGGCGGTCTCAGAGCAGGCGTGGGGAACCCCTTCCCCGAGGGCACAGGGAGCCTCTCCTCCTCACCTCCCCCCCTCGCTCGCCGCCGAGGATAGGCGTGGCCAAGATCTGGACGGACTACGAGGCCAGGCTGCTGGACCAGGCCGTGGAGCTCTTCAAGCAGCGCTGCGTCCGGGAGGCGGAGCAGCAGAGGCGAGGAAGGGGGGGCCTCTCTCAGGAGGGAAAAAAAAAAACAACAACACACAGGCACGATTCCTCGTCGATCCCGGCGGAAAACATGAAAACATGGGAAAATATGGGAAGTGGTGGTGGTGGGGGGGGGGCCAAAAGCACGGTAAAAATTTGAAAATATGGGTAATCCTACCATCTGTGTGTATGTATCTGTGTGTCCCGGGGGCCCCTCACTCCTCCTCCTCCTCCTCCTCCTCCTCCTCCTCCTCCTCCTCCTCCCTCCTCCTCCCTCCCCCTCCTCCCCCTCCTCCTCCTCCTCCTCCCTCCTCCTCCTCCCTCCTCCTCCCTCCCTCCTCCTCCTCCTCCTTTCGCTCCTGGCGCAGCGCCGCGGGGGGCGCCCCACGGGGGGGGGGCGGCGGCGGGTCGAGGGGGTGCCGCGCGTGGGCCGAGAGGCCGTCCCCACCCGCAGGGGCGAGGGCGGGCGGCCTGCCAAGGGAGGCCTTGGCCTCCGTCGGGCCCGTCCCTCTAGACCCAGACCCCCTCGAGGAATGAAAAAGTCACGACGGGAGGATTCTCCTAATTTTCGGCCTCGGGGGGCCCTCACCGGGCCTCGGGAGCGTCAAAAAACGACTCAGGACGAAAAACCGGTCCCGGGGAATGGGTCCGGACCTCTGGGGGTCGCGTCGTGAAAAAATCATGACGTCGGGGGTCTGGGAAGGGGGAGTGTTCAAAAGTAGTCCAAAAATCTTCTGGGGACGCTGTTGGATTATTTTTGGCTATATGTTTGGGTTTTTTTTTTGGGGGGGGGGGTATCTTGTATTTTTCGTCGAACATCCCCCTGTAGGGAAGCCTTGGCCTCAGTCGGGCCCGTCCCTCTACAGGGGGAGTGTTCAAAAGTAGTCCAACAATCTTCTGGGGACGCTGTTGGATTATTTTTGGCTATATGTTTGGGTTTTTTTTGGGGGGGGGGTATCTTGTATTTTTCGTCGAACATCCCCCTGTAGGGAAGCCTTGGCCTCAGTCGGGCCCGTCCCTCTACAGGGGGAGTGTTCAAAAGTAGTCCAACAAT